GAGGCGGACGTACAGCGGACTAGAGCCCACGAGCTGAGCATGAAGACCGCTGATAGCCACAACGGCCCCCTGGAAACTACCGAACAGCCAAAGATCCCGTTCGCGGCATTCAAACCGTTCGCGGAGAATGAGATGGGGATAGACGAATTTTTGGCCGATTTTGAAAGACAATGTGCCCTGCATCAGATCCCCGTCGCAGCGTGGCCGCGTATCCTGGCAGGAAAATTAACCGGGCGGGCCATGGAAGCCTTCAGAACCCTCAGCGCCGAAGAGGTAGCCCAATACACCACAGTCAAAGAGACGCTGCTGAAACGGTACGCTGTGACCCCAGACACCTACCGAAGGCAGTTCCGCAGCACGAAGAAAAAAGCGAATGATACCCATGCCGAATGGGCACATCGTATGCGGAGAGCTGCAACCCATTGGATTACCGGGTGTCGGGCCGTCACGGCCGCGGAAATATTGGAACTTTTCTTATTAGAGCATTTTTATGAGGGTCTGGAACAAAAAGACCGGGAGTGGTTGAAAGACCGGCGTCCCGCTAACCTACACGAAGCAGCCCGGTTGGCAGACGAGCACCGGGATGCGCAAGTACAGGAGTTCAACAATGCCCGAACGGTAACTCGCCCCGAAGCAAGAGAGGGATACCGATCAACTCCACGAACGGAGTTTCGCAACCCTGTACCCGCAGGTCCTACACGGTACATGGGACCACCCAGCCACTACCCTCAGGAACGCTCCCGACCCACATGTTATAAGTGCAAGCAGCCGGGGCACCTGATAGCGAGTTGCCCCCTTAACAACAATTACCCCGCACGGAACTATAATTCTTCTCCAACGGGAAACAATCGTCCAGCTCGAGCGTTTTGCCTGGAACAAGACAGTCCTCTAGAAGAATACCTGGGACCCCTACATGAAGCGAATCCTGTGTATGCCGCCAGCGACAATAGACAACACCACCGGCAAGAGGTACTACTGGAGGGGCGTCCCACACAGGGGTTAAGAGATACCGGGGCCACGATCACCTTGGTGCAAAGCCGGTTAGTCCCCGACTACAAACGCTCGCCTGACACAGTGGCTGTCCGGGTGGCTGGAGGGGACATATACAAACTACCCACGGCAAAGGTACACTTGGATTGGGGTGCGGGAAAAGGACTTGTGAGGGTGGGAATTATGGATAATTTGCCAGCCGAGGTTTTACTGGGAAACGACCTGGGACCTATGACTTCAGCTTATGCCCCGTCCTACAATGCAGAGGCACATCCTGTGACGACCCGGTCACAAGCTGGACGAGCCCGAGACCCTTCACCAGTGCGGGAGACGCAGGTAAGACTTAACCCGACTATGACCCCCCCTCCTACCCCGTTGCCCTGGGACACCCCTGCAGCCTTCGAGGCTGAGACCAAAACTGATCCGACGCTCCAAAAATATAGGGAACGAGCCGACACCGGGGCTGGGGGAACAGACCAGGAGACTTTTGCATGGGAACAGGGTCGACTGTACCGACACACAGAGAAAAAAGGGCACCGAAGGAGACAGTTAGTGATACCCCACAAGTATAGGCGGGATATCCTCCGGGTGGGTCATGATATTCCCTTAGCCGGGCACTTGGCAGTAACACGTACCCTACACCGTATTACCCATACCTTGTTCTGGCCAGGAGTACATGCCGATGTAAGGTCCTACTGTAATACGTGTGAGGTGTGCCAACGGGTAGGCAAACGAGGAGACCACCCCAAGGCACATCTCGTGAACATGCCCATTATCGACGAGCCATTTAGCCGGGTAGCCATCGACTTAATTGGGCCCCTGGCCACCCCTAGTCCCTCTGGCAAGAGATACATCCTTACCATAGTGGATTACGCTACCCGCTACCCAGAAGCGGTGGCTTTATCCAATATCCAGGCAGACACAGTGGCTAATGCCTTAGTACAGGTATTCTCTCGGGTAGGATTCCCTAGGGAGATTTTATCCGACAGAGGCTCACAGTTCACGGCAGAGCTGACCCAGCAGCTCTGGCACGTTTGCAAAATTAAATCCCTGCTTAGCTCCCCATACCACCCCCAGACCAATGGGTTATGTGAGCGGTTCAACGGAACCCTCAAGCAGATGTTAAAAACCTTTACTCAGGAGTATAGGGACTGGGAACGTTTCCACCGGGTTCTCTCCCTTCGAGCTGTTATACGGTCGCAAGGTACGGGGTCCCCTGAACTTGATCCGTGAGCACTGGGAGGGAGAGACAGAGAACGCTGGGGTCCCCATCGTACCTTACGTACTGGAGCTCCGGGACCGAATGGAGCAATTGGCTAAGTCAGTCCAGGCCAACCTCCAGGCGGCCCAGGGGCGACAGAAAGTCTGGTACGACCGGGGGGCACGGCGAAGAAGCTTCTGTCTCGGGCAGAAAGTCATGGTCCTAAAACCAGTTAAGACGGACAAGCTGCAAGCCGCTTGGCAGGGTCCCTACCAGATAGTGGAAAAGAGAGGGGACACCACTTATGTAATTGCCAGCTGTCACGATGAAAACTTAAGAAAGATATTTCACGTGAACATGCTGAAGGAATACTTGCAAAGACCCGAGGAAGTGTCAGCCATATGTAGCCCTGCGCACGAGGACGCAGATAGTTTACCTATACCCGACCTATTAACCCCTAATTCCCCGGTTGAAATAGTGAGCCAAGTACAGATCGGGGACCGACTTAGCCAAGCTGAGAGGGAGCAGCTACACAAACTGCTCCGAGAGAAACAAGCCATGTTCTCCCAAGAACCAGGGTACACTGAGCTGACCACTCACCAAGTAGATACCCCCGGCCAAAACCCTTTGAGACAAGCTCCCTACCGAATTCCGGAGGCAGTAAGGACAGGCATGAAAAAGGAGATAGACGAGATGCTGCGACTAGGGGTCATTGAAGCTTCCGATAGTCCCTGGTTCCCAAAAAGGACGGCACCACCAGGTTCTGTGTGGACTACCGGAAACTCAATGACAAAACGGTCACCGATGCCTACCCCATGCCCAGAGTGGATGAGCTGTTGGATCGCATAGCCAGGGGGAACTACCTAACTACCATTGACCTCTGTAAAGGTTACTGGCAAATTCCCCTGGCCAGGGAGGCTGTCCCCAAGTCGGCCTTCGTCACCCCGTTCGGTCTGTACCACTTTAAGGTCATGCCGTTCGGGATGAAGAATGCCCCCGCTACCTTCCAGCGCTTGGTGGACAGACTCCTTGATGGCTTCCAGGAGTTTGCCTGCGCATATCTGGACGACATAGCGATCCACAGTGAATCCTGGGAGGAACACTTGGCTCATGTGGGAATGGTCCTAGACCAGATTCGAGCGCCGGCCTGACGCTAAAGCCCGAAAAATGCCACTTTGGGATGGCTGAAGTTCAGTACCTGGGGCACCGGGTAGGCTGTGGGAAGCAACGACCAGAGCCAGCTAAAATAGAAGCGGTCGCCAACTGGCCCACTCCCCACACTAAGACCCAAGTGCTAGCCTTTCTGGGCACCGCTGGGTACTACAGAAAATTTGTACCGGAGTATAGCGCCATTGCCAAACCCCTGACTGACCTGACAAAGAAAAACCTTCCCCGACAGGTCCTGTGGTCTCCCCACTGTGAAACGGCTTTCCAAGCCCTCAAAACTGCGTTGATTAATGCTCCTGTCTTGGCTGCCCCAGCCCCTAATCGACGTTTTATTGTCCATACAGACGCTTCCATGTTCGGGCTGGGAGCTGTCCTCAGCCAAGTAGGAGATGATGGGAAAGAACACCCGATTGCCTACATCAGTCGAAAACTCCTACCACGCGAAGTCAGCTATGCCGCGGTAGAAAAGGAGTGTTTGGCTCTGGTGTGGGCATTAAAGAAGTTAACCCCCTATTTGTATGGACAAGAGTTCACTCTGGTTACAGACCATAACCCGCTGGTGTGGCTCAACCGGGTCGCTGGGGACAATGGCAGATTGTTACGCTGGAGCTTATCCCTGCAACCCTTTAATTTTACCATCACCTACCTCATAATGCCGAACGGACTTTATACGGCAGAAACAGTACATTCTGTTCGTGGGATTAGAGCGGCATTCGCCTGGTTTATCTATACGAACACGAGCCTTAAAATGAATGGTGGAATGAATGGTTTTCCTGTAATAATGTACAAGTTATGGATTTTTATGTAGTTTTCTGGGGCATAATAAAACGTGGTCTTTTGTGCGCTTGGAGATAATTAGATTGTAAAACCGTTGGCCTCATTATCTCCAAGCTGGGCGGGTACTACTTCAAATGATACAGTGTACTGTGATTGGTTACCTGTTTGTACTGTACCTGTATTCCATCAGGTCCACAGGGGGCTGTCCTTGGACCTGAGGAATCACATAAATTGCCATGCTATGTGCCAGTAAAGCCAGTTCGTTTTGACCCTCAACTTGCAGCCTCGACTCATGTTGTAGGGATCCGGGATATTGATGTTTAGATCGTGCTTGGGGATATTCTACACTTACAGCTGATTACCGAAAGACCTCCGTTCGACTCTCTGCAGCGGGAACCAGGACATCCAAGCGATCAACCCTCCTGCTAGACCGGGGGCAATCGTAACAATGGCTTTAGGTCCTTCAGGGTTTTTTTCATGAATTTATCTAATTGATGACTAAATAGGATGTCCCTTTAAGAAAGGGAGAGGAGAGACTGTTTTTAGATGCAGTATCAGTCTCCCAAGCCTTAAGCCATAAAGCTCTGCATTCTGAGATATTAAGCACCATCGTTCTTACAATAGATCTCACCAGGTGGACTGAGGCATCACAGCAAAATCAAATGTCAGCTTAACGTCTTCCACAGTTCTTAATAGGCGCCTGACCCCCTTTTTTAAAAGCATTTGACAATTTTTATTGTTTTTTTAGGAACAAGCACACAATTACATTGGCCGTACGTCACTCGGCCCACTTTATCACAGTCTATGCATTTGTCTATACATTAATTTGTACAATTGAGTATACTTAAGCCTTGTACAGTAGGTTTATACATTCAGTTTATGCATTGAACTTATGGTACACTGCACATTTACAGTAATCAGCGTAAAGTCGCCTAGTTCAACTCCTGCAATGCCTGTGATACACATGGTACTTTTGGTATTTTTTTTTTTCACATCGAACATTATCTGTCAGGAATTTCATGGTTATCTCTTATGTAAGCAGTTACCTCAGCAGAAGACACTCCCACCCGCCTGTTCCCTTGGCTGGTGGTCTATGTCCGTTAATGAGTTTGTGTCTCAGACTTCTGGATGTGTTGTCTGGTTTTTGGGTTTAGCTTGGCTTCTGGATTTAATTTAATCTGGGCTTTAACTGTTTGGTCAAGCCAGCCTAACCTGCGCCTGTGGCGATGGTCTAGCCCACAGTGGCGGAGAGTGTTCCCCCCAGCGGGAGTCAGAATTCCCTTCCCAAGGGATGGGTTGTTTGTCTGAGTTGTCTCAAGTCTATCATTCCTGCCCTGGGTGCTATTGTCCAGTCATTCAGGAGGTGTTTAGGTGCGGTTTGTTAACTCTAATTGTCCCTCACCTGTGGGGAAATTGCTTCTCTACGTCCCTGTTTGGAGTATGTACGGTACGTATTCCTGTACCGTACATACTCCAACGGAGTTCAGCCAACTCGGCGAACCTATTCTGGGTTCCGCGGCCGTAGAGACCTGG